GGGTGTGGGCCACAGCCAGCACTTGTCATGTCCACAGGCAAGCTCCAGGGTGAAGGTCTGGTGTAAGGGCTCGGCAACCCTGGGGGTGTGTCTGGATGCGTGGGAGCTGCTACGTCTAGGATCCTGGGTGTGACTGTGTCTGGGTCTGTGAGGCCACTTGGGACTCCCCGGGCAAGTGGGTGTGTGTGAAGGGTGCCAGACGGGAGCTGTGACCTGCTAGTAGTCTGGCCGGATTTGTGACGTGTATAAAACCTCAGTGTGTGTGGTATGGGTGGGTTTGTGATGGGTCACGCAATGACCATGACCCCATGCAGGATGTTTGTGTAACTGCTGGGGGGGAGTCTGCTTCCCAAAAGGGCTCTGCTGCTGTGATGTGTGTGAGCCTGTGACTCTGCCTGGCATGTGGTACAACCATGGCCCTGTGGAATATATTTTTGTGATGGTCTTTCCTATCTAACTCTCTACTTATGTCATGTCCCCGCAAGGCCCCAGGGCTGGACTGTTTATAGTCTGTGTATGTGTGGTCTGTGACTAGGAAAAGGTGTCAGAATCTACACGCCACTAGTCCCAAGAGGTGAAACAGGTTAATGTGGTGGGAGTGTTTAGCAGTTCTTGAGGGGCTCCAGTGACTACAATCCAGATTGTTGTGTCCTTGCTTAGGTCTTTCCCTTGTGGGGCCTGGCCTCAGTGCTGTGAGTTAGTGGCGATGACAAATGTCCTTGCAGAATAAGCTCCTTCTGCCCCCAAGCCAGCCCCAACCTGGTCCTTGGAGGTTCTCAAATGTGGAATAGAAAGAGGCCAGGAGGCCCAGGCCCCACTCACCCAGTCTCAGTACCATCAGCTTCAAATCAAAGAAACTCTGCCTCTCTTCTGGACATTCCCTGAGTGAAAAGCAAGTCCAGGAGCCCTGGGGGCCTGAGAAAGGCAGGGGGCAGGGGAAGCGAAACTCGGGAGAAAGGAAAGGAAACTGGGTGGAGAAAGAGGAAGCAGGAAAGAATTCACAAGCTTACCCCAACAGCAAGGGGATGGGAAGGGATGAAATGGCAGATAAGTAGATAACTTATTTTCTCAAGGTTACACTCACACCAAGCCCCCCCCCCTACTCTGCTCTCAGGGACTTACCAGAAACTGAGCCCCTGAATTCAGTGTCTTAGGTCACCTCTCATGTCCCCCAAGTTCTTTTGGGGTCCTTTACTCTTGATATGATCAAGAAAAGCTGTCTGAGGCACATGTGCAGAAACTGGGTTCAAATCCCAGCTCTGCCACTCACTAGCTCTGTGAATTTAAAAACTAAGGGCTCCTTCTACCTGTAAAGCACAAACGCCCCTCCCCTCCAAAAAAAAAAAGGACGAGCAAGCTTTTGGGGAGAATGGGAAATGTAGAGTCTAAAA